CATTGCGTTGCTACGGAGTGCTCGTGGTTGAACGTTAGCGTCGATTTGTTGTAGAATAGAAGGACAATCGATTCTGCCCTGTAGAATGTCTGGCACAAACAGGGTCCTTGTCGTATCTCTTCGACTCCACAAAGGATCCAGGTGAATTAACTGGCACCGACTTTCTTAGCTTGGAAGGCGGTGAGGATCCCTTCAAGGCATTCGTCGAAGGGAAAACCAGATGAATCGTCGTGAATAGACTCTACTCTTTGCATACTGTTTTGGTAATTGGGATTCCATATAGGGCAGCAGTATTCTAACACGAGGAGCAGTAAAGCGACTTCAAACAGTAGATGTCCGTGAAACTTTAAGCTATCCTGAAAATGAAGCCGAGCGTTCTGGATGCCTTGCCGATCACGTACGAGATATGCTGGCTGTATGTGAGTTGACAATCTAAGATGACTCCCAGATCCTTAATGTGATTCACACGATGTACGTCAACGCCTTCTAGGATATAACTGAATGTAATTGGATGTTTCTTCCGTGAGAACGTGATTACTGAACATTTTGTTGGATTTACAACCATGCGATTCAGTTGGCCCCATTAGCAAAAGCGTTGAGTTGGAGTTGGAGAAGGTGGCAGTCAGCGATGGCTCGGATTCGGAGATAGATTTTCATGTCGTCTGCGAACGACAGTCGTGGACCTTCGAGGACGAAATTGACACAAGAAATATCAACGGGCCGAGGTGGCTACCTTGCGGAATACCCGAAGTGGCAGGGAACGAAGGAGATCGGCAACTTTCAACTAAGGATCAGGTAGATAGAATGCGAACCATCGTAGGAGACTGCCATTTATACCGAGCCTATCCAGTTTGGCGATCGCTATAGAATGGTTCAACTTGTCGAAGGCGGCTGATAGGTCAGTATAGATGACATCTGTACAGGTGAGACACAGAAGGTTGGAAGTAGTCGACCGCCCTGCTATGAAACCATGCTGGTCTTCGCTCAAGTTGTCAATGTTTCTTTTGCATCCCTTCTTATGCACTGGAAACATCTCAGCTGATTTCCAGCAGGAAGGAAACACCCCACTGGAGAGGTACATTTCGAACAGGCAGAGAGGAGCCACCAGGCTATCGATGTGTTGCTTGAGAAAGACGGAAGGAACTCCGTCAGGTCCAGGCTTAAATGAAGACTTCAGTTGCGAAGCCGCCCTAGTTATTATAGCGTGGTCGATGTTGATAGCTGCCAAAGATTGACCAGACATTGGAACATTACTGGCTGCTAGAGAAACGTGCTCGTCAGGTAGGTTCTCATCCTAGAATAAACTCGCAAACTTGGTTGAGAACAGACGGCAAATGTCCTGAGGGGATGAAGCTTCTTCGCCGTTCAGTACCATAGTCGATGGAAGGCCACACTCCTTTAGTTGCTCATTCACATAATTCCAAAAAGTTCCAAAACATGCGAGAGCGTTTGGGAAGCTGCATTGACATCGGAAGGGACGAATATCGTGTGCCAGTCCAAATTCGAAAGAAGTTCCCCCATACTGTCGTGGTCAGCATTTCGGAAGATGTGAAATGTTGATTGATTGAGATAAAAGTAAAATATTCAACTTTTCCCTAGTGATATTCATATTGATAGTAATGTCAAAGCCGTACCAACTGATATCACACTTACTACGAATATCAGTGCCGGAAGTGAAATTCAGTGCTTAGATCAATATCTTACGCCAATTGACATTGTTGACAGTACGCAGCACTGATTATGGGTCCACCAAACCATTTGACCCAAAAACCAGTATGTTTTAAGATGAATGCTAGCGATTTGATATTGTCTAATTAAAACACGGCTTAACAGGTTAAACATTGCTATCACTATGACATTATATGTGTTAAATTTGAAATAGAAATAACTGTTTTCCTCGGTTCGGTGCGAATGTTACTTTCGACGTAATGAAAATTTGCTCTTTATATGGTTCGTTTAAAAAAATAATTGGCACCTAGATTATTTTATGAACATTTTAAGGATTCCATTTCTTCTAACTGTTGTAATGTTACCGATTATTGGTAGCATTAGATCGTTGAAAGCTAGCCTTTGCCATCCGCCGAGAGTCGTCAATATTCTTCGTTTCACGTACGCCCATTAGGTGCTGGCCGCACCTTTAGCATCCTTCCCGACTGCTGGAAGGATTCTTTTGTTTTCCCTGTCTTCAAAAAAGGCAATAAGCAACCGGTGTCCAACTACCGTGGTATCGCTGCTTTATGTGCAGTCTCAAAACTTTTTGAACTATTGGTGCTAGATTATTTAAAACACACATGTTCTAGTTACATCGCGACTGAACAACACGGATTTATACCGAAGAGGTCGACCGCTACAAATCTCGTTCAATACACTTCATCAATCATACGCGAGATGGAAAGAGGTCATCAAGTGAATGCTATCTACACCGATCTTTCTGCTGCTTTTGATAAAATCAATCACGAGATTGCAGTGGCCAAACTAGAGCGACTTGGTTTTCACGGTTTTCTTCTTGAATGGCTTCGCTCATACTTCAACGGTCGACATTTGTCAGTGAAGATTGGAGATCATTTTTCTCAACCGTTCGCTGTTTCTTCTGGTGTACCTCAAGGCAGTCATCTGAGACCGTTCATATTTGTATTGTATCTGAATGACGTTCACTTTTCGATCCGTTGCCTGAAGTTGTCTTATGCTGACGATTTCAAACTATACTTTGTCATCAAAGATCGAAGTGATGCATTGTGTCTTCAGCAGCAGCTGGACGTTTTTACTGTTTGGTGTGACAAGAAAAAATCACCTATCTGTTATGCTTACAGCCTGCAGGAGCCGTGAATCTACTATTAAAGACTTAGGCGTCCTACTGGATTCACAACTCACCTTCAAGGACCATGTGGCTTATGTTTCCGCTTAGGCATCTTCTCAAATTGGTTTCATTTTTCGTTTCGCCAAAGACTTTAGGGATATTTTCTGTTTAAAAACACTCTATTGTTCGCTAGTCCGCTCCACATTAGAGTACTGTTCCGTAGTATGGGCTCCTTTATACAGCAACGGGGTGAATCGTATTGAGGCCATTCAGCGAAGATTTGTACGTTTCGCCCTTCGTTGGCTACCCTGGAGTGATCCTTTCTATCTCCCTAGTTATGAAAGTCGCTATAATTTGATGTCCCTACAATTACTTAGTGTTCGTCGAGGCGTCTCTAAGGCTACCTTCATCGCTGATCTCCTACGATCGGACATTAATTGCGGTTCACTTCTGCATATTCGACGACAAAAATACTTGCCTAAGCCCGTCCCTAGATGGGACATCTAATTGCATAAATAAGGGTTCCAACATTTTTTCGGGGCTATGTACTATAGTTTGTAGTATGTGAAAGGGAAATCTTACATCAATATACATACATGCCATTTGGAGAGACTTAGATAGTGAGAGAAAATTTTCGATCTTGGATTTGAATTTTTTAGCTCGCTTAGCGGGTAAAAAATGTATGGGAAAATACTGTTTATATTTAAGCTTGTTTAACAATAATATCTGTCCTTTAAATTTGTCGAACCTCTTAACGGAATCCCTTTATGAAGAACTTTGAGTGTGTTGGTTTATTTCGGTTGAATTCCGTTATAATTGCTTATATTTTGACAGATACGCGTATTTCGTCTACTGCTTGCAGACTTCATCAGTGCCAAGTGGTGTTAAGTACTTGACACTGATGAAGTCTGCAAGTAGTAGACGAAATACGCGTTTTTTTTTTTAAGATAAGCAATTATAACGGAATTTAAAGGAAATAAACCAACACATTCAAAGCTCTTCATAATAATATCCGGGAAAAAACTGAACAACAAAGCCCCTGACTGATCTTCCTAGGTTGTCTCAATTTCGATATGGGGATTTTTATTACTTCCTACCAGCGGAACCATCTCTGTGGAAATTGGCCTGACGATGATTAATTCCCATTGCCAATGCAGTATGAGTTTGTATTCAAATAAGCTCAAATTTTGCGAGAATGCTCAGGACTTGATTTGGAATCGATTGAGCTTGGTGGAATAAAATCGAACCACCCTAACGCCCATGCTACAGCTATTTGAGGGCCGTCGCAGCGCAGCGTCATAGAGCTTGTGATGTAACAAGACCCATCATACAGTGCCGACATTCAGTGATGCCAGATTTATTTATTGCCATAACTTTTGCAAATCATGAGCGGAGTGTGGCAATTCGGCATGGTGCCGTGTTAAGGAACGGCACCAACAGGATTGGGGCATAATTCCGTACATTTTTCCTACGGATCAATTCCGTAGAGATCTGTCATCGCTGCTGACAATTCGGGTCATCTGCTCGATCGATGATGTTCATTAGACTGCGGTGTTCCGTCTTCTTGTTTAGGTACTAGCAGGTAGAGATCGCTGCGTTGGCAAGACGGCAATCCTCTTGGCGATGTTGTTTTGTATTATAGTCACTTTAACACATTTTAAGTCATTTGAGACTTGCCCGGGGATGAGATTTGAACTCGTCAACTTTAGCGTGAGAGGCATGGATCCTAACCTCTACGCTGGGCCCATCCCCGCTCCTGACGAAAAATTTGTTCTAATTTAGCTCTAAGTTAGGCCTGACTGTTCCGTTCCACCCTCGGCTGTTCAGTTTACTTCAGATAGAAGCTTTACATTAGATTGCTGGTGGGCATTAGATTGCTGAGAAATGAGTTTCAGGCACGGAAGATCGGCAGAGGGAGGAAACTTTTTGGGAGAGAAGAGAATGATTATAGGGAAGGGAATCTATCTCCTGCAGGTGGCGGTTAACTAGATGCACTTTCATTTTTTTACAGCTGGAGGGATTCAACGCATAAAGTCAATAGCAAAGAGTTATGTATATTAGCCATCGATTGATGATGAAACTATTGCGTTCGTAAAGGCATGCAAGCAAAAACTCCACCGCATTCGACACCGGTTCTGTGAAACATGCCGACCCCATCGACGAAGTATGCTACCTGCTAGCATATATGCAACATATTTGCCCGAAACGCTCGTTAGGAAGCATCAATTTAGTAAGTCTCGCTCTTAGGGGGAGGGGTTTAAGAATCTGTGACAATCAATGTATCAAGTATAGGAAAAGCGTGACGAAAGGAGGTTGATTTCTCCCACATTTAGCGTGACGTAATAAATGGATAGCCCATTAGAGACAACAGACCACGGCACCTTTTCATCCTCATTCAAACTGTTCGGGACACGTTTAAGCGGTTGCTGTAGAAAATCCAGCAGGGGTTGATTGTTGATGAAGCGTTGGACATTTTCGTTTTAACATACCGCACAAGGCCGAATCGTCAGGTCGAAGGAGGAAAATCACCGTCATCGTGCTTCAATTTGTTTAGGAACGAAAATGTAGGCCGAAACAATATTTGTTTTAAATTAAATACATATTCCCGGTTATTTTCTAGTTGACTGGTCACCTATCGGTAGTTAAGAAATTCAATTCCTACAAGACGTCTATAAACAGGATATATTACTATAAAAATATTCAGTGCAAAGATCGGTTTTTCTTAACAAAATTAGCCCAGCGTCTTTCCCTGAGCTTACTTTTATATGCGACAACTGACATCTTAATACCAGTTAGGTACAATACTAGCAAGTTTCATCAAACTCAAAGCAGGTAAGCCCAAACGTCCGTTCAATTTAGCCTGGAAATCATTCATCTTGAAGCATCATTAACCACCAATAGGTTTTTTTAGACAACACAGAAAGGTTAGGAAATACCTGCTTTCATATATGGCTTCCGTCGATGGTAGCATCGAAAGATGTAGGTAGACACGATGATAACAGTAGGACGCAATGCTGCTTCCTTTTGTTCGCAACCAAACGGCTTCTCCTTCAAACACCCTGTGCATTTTTTTTTTATTTGAAAATAGACAATATTGTTTCAGCTGAAATGTACCTCTAAATCCTGGATGCACGATTTGTACGGTAGCTCCGGTTCCATCGGAGCAACAATTTTCTTTTACGCGACCCCAAACGACGCTCTAGAAAAACTACAAGTTTAACAGTGAATGTCTACTGTGAAACTTTTCGTAAAACAAGGAAAACAGATACCTTTCTTGTTTAAAGCATTCTACTTCTTCGCCTTGAATTAAGAAATGGCTATCAGAAAATCAAAATAACTGCAAGGATAATCGAATCGGAATTAGGATTGTATGCTGAACGAGTGTATACCTGACATGCGTCGAGCTCAAATTTCTCAACATTACACCAACACGATACGTCTGCAAATATTGTGGTCTATCTGAAGACACTAACCTGTCCGGAGAAAAAGTACATACCGACCCTCAACAAGACACGTTTTAGTTTTCTGAATGCTTCAATTGGAGTGTAACTGTTAACGTATTTGCTTTTCTGTTGACCTGAGCTCTTACTCGATAGGATTATATGACATATAAAACACATTCGACGATGAAAGAAACGAAAAAAGATCGATTAGTAATGGTATTGCACAAACCGACTTACCTGGTGGAAAGCTGATAGATTATTAATTGCCTATAATTTTATTTCTGTAGCTTGGGATACCTCTTGATCCGAAAAATGTGGGGGGGTTGAACGAAGAACTACTACTACTTTTCCTCTCTCTCTCTCTCACTGTCTCTAATCGGCAACAAAAAGCAACACGACGACACAAATATTACTGTTTAGACTAGCTGCTTTAATGGCTGCGACTTCTGCTGCGATGACGTTCAGCTTTAGAGGTGAAAAGAGAAATTAGCCAATTAGAATTCAATACAAATCAACATTCAACACTTACATCTCTTATACTGCCGTTCATGATCACGATCGCGATCGCGTCTTTCGTGACGTTCGTAGTCCCTATCACGAGTATCTCGACGATCCCGACGTCTATCATCACGCTTAAAGCGATCATCACGCTCTCTAACAAATAAAGTTGAATAGCCGATCATTATTTAAAACAAAAACTTCTTCATCTTAGCAATAGCACACCTCGATCTAGGTTCATCCCGACGACGATCACGTCTACGATCATCATCTCGCCGCCGCTCTTCCACTCGTGGTGGTGCAGGCTTATTTCTGGCTTCCACCATCTCCTCGACCGCTTTTCTCAACTTTGAATAGCTGTAAAAATAGAAATAAATTAGTATTATCTTTAAATTTCCACAGATACCGAATGCATCGTACCCCAAATGTTGCTTGCCGGTAAGATGATCATCGATTCGTTGCTGTGCATCACCTACGATGAGGAACGCACCACAAACCTGACAAACTTCCATTTGCTTCTCCTGCGATGCGGCATATTCCGCGGTCACTGACCATCCATTCGATTCATGCTGTTTGATCAATTCGTCCTTTTCCTCCTTCAGCTGATCACTCATAAGCATCAGGCTCTGCGAAACCGAGTCAGTCATTTCAAACATAACTTGCCGACAATGGAATTCCCCATACTAACCTGTGCCTGATCCACATCGCCTCGTATGCCGGCTTCCTCAGCTTCTCGGATCAGCTTGCCGATCTTTTCGTTGATCGTATTGATCTGCTCTTGCTGTTTGGAAACCGGTCGATTCTCCAGCTTGCTGTTCATCAAAAGTAGTCTTTGCTTACCTTTCACTATCTTCCGGTCGACTTCGTTGATCATGTTGGTACAGAACCGAAGAAAATCTTCCTCGTACTGGGTCTTCTTACGACACGGTTTTGTTGCGTCGAACAGCTTCTTTGCTTCTTCGTCGTGCAGCTTGCCACACTGTCCCAAATCCGCCCGGGTATTGACAAACAGATCGTGCGGGCAGAATTTAACCATGAAATATGTGCAAAACTGAAAGAAAACAAAACATTTAAGAAAAACAAAATCAACAAAAAAAAACCCTACCTCCTCATCTTCCCAGTTTAACTCCTTGGTCTTGACGGATGGATGAAGATTCCGGTTCCGGCCCATCAACTCGTCCAGCAGTTGCCTCGCGACATCCATGATTGCCGCTTTGTTTGAGTAAGCCCAAGTTCAAGCTTCTTCTTGTTCTTCTTTAAAAAAAAAGAGCACTTTAAAATCGGATTTTATACACTTCTGCGCACAGTAGCTCAAAGAAAACCACTTTTAGTGCGATTCACTTTGAGTAATACACAAAATGAAGGTGTTTTAACGCGAATTTAAGCAAGATTTTCCGGTTAAAATTGTGATTTTTTAGGCGTAAGATTTTCGTCACCAGAAACGCGATGAAAATTTTCCTTCCTTTTGTCGTTTTGAGAGCTGTCAAAATTTTCTTCGATCGATGAAAAGACTTTTCAAGGAACGAAGACTGGCGGACCCGCATTACCACAGTTGTTTCACTAAGATGAATATCCAAGCTTTCCACCACAAACGAAGTGACAGACGACTAACTCGACAGTGAGCATGCATAAGGGCCTATACGCGATGATCGATTCTCTTCATCGATTTTCTCTTTGCATTGCTACAGCTAAGCGAAACTATTTTGTAGAATTTATTCAATGTAGAGTTGTAACAGGTTGCATTGGCTATCAAAAGAAACAGCAAACGCACCGACAAACGTTAAATCTAGCGAGTTATTAACAAAAGAGAAATCGATGAAGAGAATCGATCATCACGTATACGCCCTTATGAATGCTCACTGTCGAACTGGCGAAGAAATCTCGATGAACATTTCAAATGGTCCTATCTGCTTTGATCGATTCTCTTCATCGACTTTCTCTTTCGTCAATAACTCAGCTGCAAAACCTTTCCCTGTTGTATTTGACGTTTTGGACGCTAGATAAGAACTTCCTTTATCAAACTATGTGGTAGAATTAACGCGAAATCTGTTTGCATAGCAGTGGTTATGAAAAGAGAAAGTCGATTAAGAGAATCGATCAAGGCAGATAGGACCATTTGAAATGTTCATCGAGAAATCAATTAAAATAATATAGTTCGCTGTAATAGAATTTTCTTAGAAGCTTGTGCCATCAGCCATCAGATGGGCTAGTATTTTTGTTTTAATTTGAACATAGTTGATTTTGTGTGCAATATGATCTTTGACAGTGTGCAAAGAGTGTATCATTTTGTCATTTTTTTATGCATTTCAGTTTAGAGTACACAGCAAAAAAAATGTAATATCGATCAATGTAATTCAAGCTGATGTATGAAATAATGATGTAATAGCAAAAAGCAGATACAATATTACATCAATGGATGTAATTTTGTTTGCAAAATCGATGTACATCGCACAACGTTATATTACACAACCGATGGATTGACCTGGTTGCAGCAGTTTAGATGTAATATTCAACAACTTTTTTTTTCTGTGTGGAGTGAAATAGATAGAACCAAAACATTCTAGTACATTTAGTGTTGCCATGTGGTACAATCCATTAGTAGTGTTGCCATGTGGTACAATCCAGTAGTAGTGGTGTTGCCATGTGGTACACTGAAAAATTGCAATAACAGGTGCGTCACCAAAGTTTTCGAGCCGCTCCGTCTGTCACTTTGTTTGTGCTTTCCACGCTCGGTAACGGCGGCCTACGCGGGTTCTAAAATGTTTAAAGCCAAGTTATTAACGAACGAGAGAGTCGATGAAGAGAATCGATCAATGTAGATTGGTATATTTAAAAGTGACGCGAAGTTTCCACCGACAAACTGACATGAAACTGAAACTTAACTCTTGATCGAGAATCCATAACGGCCGATTCAAATGTGCAGCGATCCCATCTGTCAAAACCATAGAAATGTTTTATCTAGATAAAAAATAATTTGTCCGAAAAAGATTAGACACGAACCAACTCATACATTTTATACGCATGTTTGTGGCTAGGATAAATATTTTCCGCGAACACGGCGGCAGATGTCAGTTTTGAGCTTTGATCAGAAATTTCTTTGTAATTTGTATGATGATTCATTTCGGTTTGTCAGTGAAGTTTCTAGCATAATGAAGTGACAGACGACTAACTGGCGAAGAAATCAATTAAAATAATGAGGTTCGCAGTAATAGAATTATCTTAGAAGCTTGTGCCATCATCCACCAGATGGGATACTATTTTTGTTTTGGTTTTGCACAAAGTTGATTTTGTGTACAATGATTCTTTGACAGTGTGCAAAGAGTGTATCATTTTGTCATTTTTTTTTATGCATTTCAGTTTTGAGTAGAGTGAAAGAGATAGAACCAAAAAATTCTAGTACATTTGGTGAAAATACTAGTTCAATCCAGTAGTAGCACAAACGAAGTTACAGACGACTTTCTCCGAAGAAATTAATTAAAATAAGGTGGTTCTCTGTAATAGAATTTTAGACCACTTTCCGCCGCTCACCGCCAGGTTCGCTAGTATTTTTGATTTGAATTAATTCAAGTTGGTTTTGTGTGCAATGATCTGGCAACTCGCGTTCTCACTCGCGTTGACGGGGTGCTGTTTTCTCACTCATCGAAGGAAATTTTGATTAGAGTGAGAAAGTAAGGAACAGTCAGCGCGGGAACCGTGTGCGGTACTATAGGTGCGGCACAAAGAATGTAGTCGACTCCTTCGTTCTCACGGTGTTCTTACGCATGATCCAACGTTACGTCACACTAGATTATGCATAAGAACGTCGTGATAATGAAAGAGCAAAGTTTGTATGTTTGGGAGCCTCTCGCATTCAACTCGCATTCGTCCTCGAGTTCGTGTGGAAGCCATTCAGAGCGGAGGTGGCCAGGAGCGTGGCATTCGAAGTGGAACCGTTCCGACTCCACTGGTCGTTGGATTGGGGGAAGCCTGTGAAATCGCTAGCCGTGAAATGGAGTACGATCACAAATGGATGGAGTTCCTCTCGAAACGCCTGATGGACCAAATCTTCGCATCGCTACCGAAAGTCATCCGCAATGGCGATCCAGTTCATTCTTATCCCGGATGTATCAATCTGTCGTTTGCATACGTTGAGGGTGAATCGCTGTTGATGGCGCTGAAAGACGTTGCCCTCTCGAGTGGGTCGGCTTGCACTTCGGCTTCGCTGGAACCGTCGTATGTGCTGCGTGCGATTGGTGCCGACGAAGATCTGGCTCACAGCTCGATTCGCTTTGGCATCGGACGGTTTACCACCATCGAGGAAATCGACTACATAGCTGAAAAGTGCATCAAGCACGTGACTCGACTCCGAGAGATGTCCCCGCTGTGGGAGATGGTCCAGGAAGGTATCGACATCAAGTCGATCCAGTGGTCGCAGCATTAGAGCGGACGGGTCGGGGCATATTTTAAAGAGAGATTTGATTTTGTATGTTCTGCTGTGTATGGTTGAATTCAGTGAGGGTTTTTTTTTAATTGTTAATCATTGATTGTGTTATTAACACATCCACTTTTGGTAGTAAGTAGGTATTGAGACGAGAGAAAAATAATGTATAGCTTTGCTACATATGCTATTAGAGACAGCAATAAATCTTAGACAGTGAAATCATTGGGAGTATTTCATCATTCACTTGGCGAAAAAACTTCCTATCAGCGATTGTTTGAAATAGTATAAACTTTGTTAGTTCCCGTCAAGGACGGCGTTGTTACGACTACGCTAAATTCGCAAATTTGAGGTATTCGTGGACTGCCATCTCAGATTTGCTTTGGCGCGGATTAGTTCCACTTAGGGTTAATTCAACTAAGTTTCGATTCTAATTATTTGAAGACTCCAGGAAAATCTACGTTTAGAAAGACCTTCTATTATTTAATAAAGAAGTAAAGCAGTAAAGTTATTAATAGTTGGTTGGGCAAGCTAAAATATCATTTAAAAAAATGTGTTCAATGTCGATAAGCTTTCCGCAAAATCCGCACTTCAAAAGCTATAAAACCGCACAAAATTTGCGACACTTGTAACAGCCCTGCAGTTGGCTTCGGCGTGCCAGAGAATACCTAATCCACCTAACCGGACCTGAAGAAACGGAAAGGAGCGCGACTGGGATTAGACGGGCTAGCCTTATGAAGCTCTCTACTGACATACAATATAGCATGGTTGCAGCAACCTTATATTTCACCTATTTGTCCCTAAAGATCACTAATTTACACCCGACACCCTAGGTAGGATAATGTCATCGCAAATAACAACAATTCCCGTTGAATACATAGTGCGAAAAATGCTCTTGAATTACCCCAAACCGTCTCATCACAACCTACGCCTCGGTCAGCGTGGCCCGACCGATCGTTTTCGGCATCTTTTTATTGGTGGAATCCTCGAGCTCCTTCGGTTTGTAGTAATGCGGTGCCGCCTCCAGCAGCCACTTGCTTTCGATTTCAATCACCGACCGCATGTACTCCTTCGTCGTAAACACCAGCTCGTGGTACAGCACCCACATGGCAGTTCTTCGAACAGTGCCGAATTCGGATGGATCATCACCGTCTGATTGTGCTTGGCCGTTTTGTAGTGACCCCCCCTTGGAGAGCCGAGCGACGTGATAAAAGTACCCGGCTGTAATAGCCTTCCGGATGTTGGTCGTTTCCGGCAGACTGGAAACCATTTCGATTTCGACTCGCTGCATTAACCCAACCAGCTGCTCCCGGACATCGCGAGCTCGTTTCATCGAACGGAACTGAATGAAATTTTCGTAACACCACTGAGTGCTGTAGTCCGATTCGGCCCATTGGTTGTAGACCTGCAGCAAACTCAAGTGGTCCCCGTGCATGTGGTTGAAGTTCTTCCGGGCCGTATCTGCGTGGATGATTTTATCTTTCGGTCGGTAGAAGATGGCTCCATTCACCGATTGCATTGCAGCGATGGCCACCACCTCCTCGGAACATTTGTACTTTTCACTAGCAAGCAGCATTTTTGCCATCATGGGATCGACCGGAAATTCCGCCATCCGTCGTCCAAGTTTGGTCAGTTCACCGTGGTGATTCAATGCCCCTAGGGCGTAAAGTTGCTCCAATGCCAAAACCAACGTTTCATGTGGTGGAGGATCGAGGAAATCGAAATGAAGCAAATCGTTGATTCCAAGAGCTTTGAGCATTAGCAGGGCATTGCCCAGGTTTATGCGCTGAATTTCCGGGACGGTGTTGTCTTCCAGCTCGTGTTTGTATGCCCAGGCTGTGTACAGACGAAAGCACTTGCCAGGGGCAACGCGCCCTGCTCGACCTGCACGTTGATTGGCAGACGCTTTCGAAATGGGCACGACCATCAGGGTCTCCATCCCGGTTCTGGAGTTAAAATTATTTTGCTTTGCAAAGCCCGGATCGATCACGTACATTATGTTATCGATGGTTAGTGATGTCTCGGCGATGTTGGTGGCCAGTACGACTTTCCGGGCGTTCGGTGGAGTTGGATCGAAAATTTTCGCCTGCATGTCCGACGGCAGATTGGCATAATTGGGAAGGATGAGTAGTTCCTTGAGTTTGGAACCCAACCGCTTGACGCGATCCTGGAGCATCTCCTGGCAGGCTTCGATTTCCTCTTGTCCTGGAACGAAAAAAAAAATGTAATTTTTTAACATCGCATAGAAATAGACCCACTTACCAGTTAAAAATACAAGAATGTCTCCAAGAGGCTGAGTGGCATGAATCTGTAGAACCGACACCACACATGCATCGATATAATCTGCTTCCGGTGCTTTGGTGTAGAAGACATCAACCTAGAAGAGAAAAAGTTAGATTTTACAGCAAAACACAAAGCAAGTCAAATCTAACTACGTACCGGAAAACGACGACCAGGAATACGGAATATGTTCGCATCATCGAAGAAATCCGAAAACTTTTCCGCATCCAACGTGGCACTGGAAATCAGTAGTTTCAAATCCAACCGAAACCGCGCAATGTCCTTCACCAATCCAAACAGAATGTCCGTGTGCAACGTACGCTCGTGAGCTTCATCGATAATCATCACACTATACGAAGCTAGGTCCGGTTCCGAAAGAAACTCCCTGTGCAACGTACCATCTGTCATGTATTTAATGACAGTCCGCTCGGATGTGCAATCCTCGAAACGAATACTATAACCAACTTCGTTGCCCAACTTGACGCCCATTTCCTGTGCAACACGTGCCGCCACGGACATCGCTGCCACGCGACGAGGCTGAGTACATCCAATCTTCTTGCCGTCGTTTGTAAACCCAGCTTCATAGAGATACTGTGGAATCTGTGTCGTTTTTCCCGAACCCGTTTCTCCTTCGATAATAAGAATCTGGTGTTCTTTTATAGCGGCTATGAGATCCTCCTTGAATGGAAAAACTGGAAGTGATTTCTTCGTTTCCTCAATGTCCAGCTTTCCGGTCCTTTTCTTTAGTTCCATCCAGTCGGAGTGCCTGGACGAAATCAATCTGATCATCCAACAGCAGTTCATACTCTTCAGCACCAGCACCACTTGCGAACCTCTTCGTTTTTGAAAGTAAATTTCACGCACAGTCTGACGTTTGCTTACGGATTTTACCATAGGAGTAAAGAGCTATAGATTCGCCGTCAAGGCCAATAGCATCAACTATATACTTTAAGCTAGTACATATGAGTAGATAGTGTTGCCATAGAGGTAACTCTAAGACCACTGGGTCCCGAAGAAAATCATTATTATTTTTGGCTCACTCAGTACCAGAACAACGGTCCCAAGCAGTCCCAAGCTATTTCACTCACCCCTGCATGTTCTGCATGAATCCACACACCCCTGATGTTATCTGTCAAACTTTCATAGCGAATCAAAACAAACATAGTGTAGTAATAGAATTTCAACTAGAATAGGGTACGTTAATCGTTTGCTTGGGACCAATAGGCTACTAAAGTGGTGAGCCAATTTAAAATCGTTAGTTTCGTATTGATTGTTGGTGTTGCCGTGAGGTACACTCGAAAATTTCAAACGTAAGTGCGTCAAATCAAATTTTGAGCCGCTCCGTCTGTCACTTCGTTTGTGGTAGTAGTGTTGCCATGTGGTATACAATCAACAATCAATACGAAACTAACGATTTTAAATTGGCTCACCACTTTAGTAGCCTATTGGTCCCAAGCAAACGATTAACGTACCCTATTCTAGTTGAAATTCTATTACTACACTATGTTTGTTTTGATTCGCTATGAAAGTTTGACAGATAACATCAGGGGTGTGTGGATTCATGCAGAACATGCAGGGGTGAGTGAAATAGCTTGGGACTGCTTGGGACAGTTGTTCTGGTACTGAGTTAGCCAAAAATAATAATGATTTTCTTCGGGACCCAGTGGTCTTAGAGTTACCTCTATGGTACAATCCAGTAGTAGTGGTGTTGCCATGTGGTACACTGAAAAATAGCAATAGCAGGTTACCCAACAAACAATTGCCTATTGAAGAAACGACTTCTTGACGATTTTATTCCACTTCATGCTTAATATTTGTGTCTTATGGCGGTAAGCTCCAACTCGGATTAACTTTTAATACCGTCCCTATTTGTATGATATGAAAAATGTTTGCTCAGAGTTCTGTTGATTAACTCTGATGTCGACATCAAACCAGCCGGACATTCTTAATCGGGATTTAATCTGAGGATAATACCGGTTGGATCTATCGGACGCGTTGTGGTAAAGTGACAACTAAATCTATTGTCTAACTGTCAAATTTACGTCAACGCAACGCAAACGGATCTAATGTGGGTGGCCCTTAAGTATAATAAATATGCCGGATTAACGAGAAGGTACTGTACTGTGCTTGTGATGTTACCACAGTTGATCTTCTCAATTATCTCGAAAACTTCCAAGGGCTCGGTTCGCGTTACGACTAGATAGGGCTGCATTCAATGAGGTATATACAGGTGTGGCACAAGAGGGTATTTGTTGGTATTAGTAGCAAAAAAGAGGTAAACAATCGGTGATGACGAAAAACTCCTAAAAAATTGGCATGAAAAAAGTGGAGTTTGACGTCACGCAAGGTATACTTCACAAACACTATAAAATATTTTGCACTACACGAATACCATTTTACGATCTTTTCCTCACCTGTATACATCTCATTGGGCTGCATTCACTCATCACTGTTAGTAAACATCTCTTAGGTAAACATCTCTCTTTTGTACTCTTTCCTTCTCTCTCTGAATCAGCATGATGAGAAACGTCACAAGTGGTCAGACAAACTCCAAAAAGTGTTGTGGTTTCAAATTGTTCCAAGTTTTAAATTAAATTTCTTTAAATTTTTATATGCTAATCCCCTTGAAAAAGAGATAAAATCATGCCAAAAGAACAGTTTCGTGAGGCGGATGTTATTAAAAAAATGTGGGTTCAAAAAAACTTAATTTACTGCGTTTGATTTCATTTTTGTTGTCTATATTGTAGCTCCCACGTTTCTTTCGGCATCGATAGTGCCGAATTGATACAGCAAGAAGCTCATCTGCATGTTGTCGCCAAGAACCTGTACAATCAGGATGCCAACAGGACACCCGTTTCGTACGGTGTCCTGGATCGCCGCATGGGTGTCAGTCAGAAGGATGCAACCTGTGACACCTGTAAGAAAGGGTTGAACGATTGCGTAGGACATTTTGGTTACATCGATCTGGCACTGCCGGTATTTCATGTGGGTCATTTTCGGGCAACGATTACGATCTTACAATCGATTTGTAAGGTTTGTTCCCGAGTTATGCTGAAGGAAGAAGAGAAGAAGCAATTCAGCGCCCGATTGATGAATCCAAATCTTTCCTACTTGGCGAAGAAGTCCATCCATAGCCAGGTGCTGAAAAAGGCAAAGAAAAATACGAAATGTCCGTACTGCGGTAATTTGAACGGGCCGGTCAAGAAGGGGGCTGGTCTGATGAAGATTGTTCACGAGCCGTTCCGTGGCAAGAAGGCGACCGATCCGTTGGTGACCAATGCACTGGATGAAATGATGACGGCAATTGAAGGGAACCGGGAGTTGTCGCAGACGATTGGTCCATCTTCGTTGATGAAGGAATTGAATCCGGTCGAGGTGCTGGATTTGTTTCAGAATATCCCAAAGAGTGACATTCCGCTGTTGGGGATGACTTCAAAGGAATCGAATCCGGCAGATCTGATCGTTACCCGGTTGTTTGTTCCGCCGGTTTGCATCCGTCCATCGGTGGTTTCCGAGGTGAAGGCAGGTACCACCGAGGACGATCTGACGATGAAGCAGAGTGAGATTTTGTTGATTAGCGATGTCATTACAAAGCATATGATGTCGGGCGGGAAAATTGAGCTCATCCAGGAGGATTGGGACTACTTGCAGCTTCACTGTGCTTTGTACTTTAATAGTGAACTGTCCGGCATCCCGTTGTCGTTGATGGTGAGTTTCATTCGAAGTAAATCGTCGCAATATAGGCACTGATTTTTTTTCTTTGTTAATTACAGCCTAAAAAACCGACTCGCGGCATTGTACAGCGTTTGAAGGGTAAGCAAGGTCGGTTCCGCGGCAACCTGTCCGGTAAGCGAGTGGATTTCTCTGCTCGTACTGTTATTTCTCCAGATCCTAATTTGATGATTCATCAGGTGGGAGTGCCCGATCGGGTGGCCAAAATTCTTACTTTCCCAGAGCGAGTTAATACGGCCAATATCAATGTAAGTATCGACATATATATATTAGTTAACAAACATGTCTGATTGATTATTCAATTTTCAGAAAATGCGTCAACTGATCAAAAACGGCACGGAAAAGCACCCAGGTGCCAATTATGTTCAACAGAAGGGTAGCGCTTTCAAGAAGTATCTAGCTTATGGAAACCGCGACAAAGTGGCTCAGGATCTCAAGTGCGGCGACATCGTGGAGCGCCATCTGATGGATGGCGACGTGGTGCTGTTCAATCGTCAGCCCAGTTTGCACAAACTCAGTATCATGTGTCACGTGGCGAAGGTTCAACCGCAGCGGACGTTCCGCTTCAACGAGTGTGCCTGCACGCCCTATAATGCCGATTTCGATGGAGATGAAATGAATCTGCATCTCCCGCAGACGGAGGAAGCTCGTGCCGAAGCTTTAGTGCTGATGGGGGTATGTCTTGCATTAGCTGGGGTATTTGCAGAAGATCTAATATTCAGTTTACCATTCACAGAACAAATCCAACCTGGTAACTCCTCGCAACGGTGAGCTGTTGATTGCTGCCACTCAGGATTTCATCACCGGTGGCTACCTTCTCACGCAGAAAGATCAGTTTCTAACTCGTGAACAGGTCATGCAGTTGGCAGCGTGTATGCTTTCCGGCCCCGATGCCAATTTGGAAATTGATCTTCCCAAACCAGCGATCATCAAACCGCGCAAAATGTGGACTGGCAAGCAGATTTTCAGCTTGATCTTGAAACCCAATAAAGACTGCAATGTGAATGCAAATCTTTCCACGAAAGGTCGCATCTACACGTCTGGAAAGGACCTGTGTGTGAAGGATTCCTGGGTCGTGATTCGCAATTCACAGCTGATGTGCGGTTCGATGGACAAGGGAACGTTGGGTTCGGGTACGAAGAATTGTATTTTCTATGTCATTTTGAGAGATTTTGGCGAAGAGTGCGCGATCCGAACTATGTGGCGTCTGGCTCGAATGGCATCGTATTTCATGATGAACTATGGATTCTCGTTCGGCATTGGTGATGTAACGCCCAGTCGGAGGCTGCTGGAAGAAAAGCAAAAACTATTGGTGAACGGTTACAGCCGATGCGATGAATATATTGCTGAGATGAAGAAAGGTACCTTGCAGTGTCAACCGGGTTGTACTGCGGAGCAAACCCTGGAAGCGGTGATGTTGAAGGAGCTTTCCAGCATTCGAGAACTGGCTGCCAAAGCGTGCTTCCGTGAGTTGCATCCGACCAACAGCGCACTGATCATGGCACAGTCCGGTTCAAAGGGCTCCAACATCAATATTTCACAGATGATTGCTTGCGTCGGTCAGCAGGCTATCAATGGCAAACGGGTGCCCAACGGGTTCGAGGATCGTGCCTTGCCACATTTCGAGAAATTCTGTAAGTATTCTCTGCGCATTTAATCCTTTCAAAATTAACAAAACTCAATCCATCTCTCCCGATTTGCAGCAAAAATCCCAGCGGCTCGCGGATTCGTCCAAAACAGCTTCTACTCGGGCCTAACGCCGACCGAGTTCTTCTTCCACACCATGGCCGGTCGAGAAGGTTTAGTCGACACGGCAGTCAAGACAGCCGAAACGGGCTACCTCCAGCGACGGTTGGTCAAATGTTTGGAAGATCTGGTCGTTCAATACGACGGTACGGTTCGGAATGCGATCGGGGAGGTCGTTGAGTTTACCTACGGTGCAGACGGGTTGGATCCCGTATTCATGGAAATTAAAAACAAACCGGTGGACATTGAACGACAATTTATGCACGTTCGCAGTACGTACCCCTGCCGGGACGAAGTTCCGCTGTTTGGCGACGAGATTGTTCCGGTTGCGGAGGAAATTTTAAAGAAGTCTCATTTCGACGGTTGTCGAGCGGATTTCCGAAAGGAGTGTCTGTAAGTCGTATCCGTATTCTTTTCAAAACACGTAGGTATCTAAAGATAAACTGTTTAATTGTAGGGCATTTCTGTCGAAATTCGGTAAAACGTTGCAACAAATCCAAACGCGATACAGCCACTGCTCGAAGGTGGCCCTCGAAGTCGAGCGAACCACCCACGGGCAGGTGGAGATATTCCTGACGCAGGTGCGTAACAAGTACAACAAAGCCATCACCGAACCGGGAACGGCCGTCGGTGCACTGGCCGCTCAGAGTATCGGTGAACCGGGCACGCAAATGACGCTAAAGACCTTCCACTTTGCCGGTGTCGCTTCCATGAACATCACCCAAGGCGTCCCGCGTATTGTGGAAATTATCAATGCAACCAAAGCGATTTCCACGCCGATTATTACGGCGGAAATCGAGGACAACAGCAGCATGGAGTTTGCACGGAAGGTGAAGGCAAGGATAGAGAAGACCACGCTTGGGGAGATTTCCTCCTACATCGAGGAGGCGTACAAATCGGACGACTGTTTCCTGTTGATCAAGCTGGATCTGGACAGAATCAGGGTGCTCGGACTGGAGGTCAATGCGGAGACGATTCGCTATTCGTGAGTAAACATTTCGATTTTTTTTACATTTTTGATGTTTAGGGTACCCGGAACACGTCCGGATGTGGCGAACGTAGATGCTTTCGAGGATGCATTCTATCACATTTCCCTTTTTTTTTAATTATCACTCCAAAAGAAGTGTAAAATGTGAAAATTTGCAGAATCTTTGAACACCGTTTTCTCATTTCCACAGTAACGTCGCTAAACCTCACTTTTTAAACTACCGGTCATAAGTAAGGATTCGCTTGAAAAAGTATTGCTAACACATATTGAATATTGCATCACCTTGAAAAGTTTAGCATCACCCAAAGAGAATGTGAATGCGTGGGTTGATGCTAAACTTTTCAAGGTGATGCAATATTCAATATGAGTTTGCAATACTTTTTCAAGCGTGTCCTTACTTATGACCGGTAGTGTACCGTGCCGATTCAAATTTCGAACACTTAAACTCGAATTTCGGACACTTTTAAAAGTTGATTATCTCGGTCGAATATGATCCACATGTCTTGTAAATTTTAAATTTTTTTGACTAGTGCCCTCCACGATCATCTAACATTATTACTTTGTTTCTAACTGGATGTAATATTTAATTAAAAATGAAAGTGTCCGAAATTTGAATCGTCCGAAATTTGAATCGGAACGGTACGTGTGCACCAATTTTGAAGACTTTCATAGTCATTTTTATACTCGAATCGGCTGCAAAATGCAGAGAGCAGCGCCGGTGGTGTAGTGGTAAGCGTGATTACCTCTCACCCCAGCAGGCCTGGGTTCAATCCCAGTCGGCGCCACCGGGATGTTCTCAGGCATAATATCTCTGATCACGCCTTCCTTCGGAAGGGAAGTAAAGCCGTTGGTCCACGGTTCATGAGTTGATGGGTCGATAGGTAGGGTCCAGGTGTGGGAGTTGTCTTGGTAGCATTGGTGCTCAGCACGGAAAACAAGATCGACGGAAAACAAATCAAAGGAAAAAATTGAGAGAATCTGTAAAACTATATGATTCACTTCATTTTACCACAAATTCAAGTGAACATGGCCAGGGCTGGCAAATGCCATTTTCAATGAAAGATCTCGCGCGATATTTATAGAGATACTTCTGTCACTATCATCGGATGAGAAAATGATGATAGAGATTTTTTTTTAAATCTCATCGAATTTATTGTCATAACAGAACGTGACAGTGTTGTGTTCATTGTAATTACTAGCTCATTTATTGCTATTAATGTGACTAGTTCCGAGGAAATCTTAATAATATATTCACTCTACCGATTACATACGGTTGCTTGCTTTAATTCATCTAAATCAGTTAGAAATGTTGATGTCAAAACCGCATAAGAATTATTCTCATGAGTGCTTGATCATTAGAAAATGACAAGAAAGCCAATAACAGCGTAGGTCTATTATGATGCTTTAGGAATAGCAGTTGCTTTTCCAGGCACTCCTGGACGTAGATCTCTTGATTGATGATTCCCGTAGTAATGAAAATGCCGCTTTTTAGACCACACGTGCATATGGCCTGCCAGACAAGATATTTTTTCGGGAACTTCAATAGTTTGATGGTTTTGAAAATTTCAGCCACCTTCCCTTTTCCTGATGCGGTATAAAACACTTGTCCCGGAAGCTGCTTGAAATCCGCCTTCACATAAGTTTCGTCGTCCATGACGACACAGTCGAACTTTGTGATTCGTATACAGCTTTCGGGACCGCTGCTTTGCCGACGTGTTTTGTTTGTAATCGCGGTTCACCACCTTCATCTTCTTAAACGTCGACAACCCGGCTCGTTTCTTGGCCCGCTGTACAGTAGTATGGGAGACATTGAGCTTTCCAAGCGACGTCCCGGATGGAGAGGTTATGATTCCGCTTATATTTCACTGCCACCTTCTGCGTCGTCGCTGCCACGTCCGGATTACGATTTCCGCCGCTTCCAGGCTTCCTGGCGGTCAAAAGACGCTCCCGAACACTTTTAAAACGTTTGTCACGGTCGATTTGCCCACATCCAGCAATTTTGCCAACTTGACGTCTGAGAACGTCTAGTTCTCTTGCTGCGCGAGCAAAATTTTGACACGCTGCTCCTCTTGCTTGGACGTTACTTTAGAAAAATGAAGAGCAAAGGTGAAAACTCATCACAGCAACCATTGTATATACAATCAACTTCCAAATGCAGCATTTAAGGTTTTTGACGTAGGACTACGTCTTTTATTTCTATATGGGGTACACTTTGTAAAAACCAAAAATGGAACATGTAACAAAATTATGAAAGATTTTGAACGTTAATAACTCAGCTGCCCCTGGACCAATTTCAATAATTTTATCACCAATCGATCAGAAATATTCCTACGCATCTGTTAAATTTAAGAGTTTATAATTTTTTTTAAATGTCACTATTGAAAACTGCACGAATGTGAAACTGTTGCTATGATAATTAAAATTGTCACCGATTGCCTGCGAAAAGCGATTTCCCTTACACAGATTTCAAAGTTGAATTCCATCCGGTCTCACCAAACGGTGTTCTCCGGTACACAACGAAAGGCTCCCCGCAAGCTGCTAGCGATCAAGACTGACCTCAACCAACAATCAATACGAAACTAACGATTTTAAATTGGCTCACCACTTTAGTAGCCTATTGGTCCCAAGCAAACGATTAACGTACCCTATTCTAGTCGAAATTCTAGTCCTACGCAATGTTTGTTTTGATTCGCTATGAAAGTTTGACAGATACAATGAGGGGTTATTGGTTTCTCCTATGTTTCGAGGGGTGATTCGAAAGCTTGGGACCGAAGATAGTACCAGAGGTGAGCCAAAAAGTTGAGCACGTTTCTTCGGGACCTACTTGTCTTAGAGTTACCTCTATGCCTCAACCGCTGATCGGATTCAGTTCCAATTATCGTGTGTGGTGATGTCCGGTCGTCGGCATCAGCAGCAGCAGCAGTGCTTTCGGCACGTGGCGTTGAACATTGTTCTCCAGTACACAACGAAAATCTGCCTGCAAGCAGCGAGCTGCAGCCCACATGAGCATCCATAGAAGGAAGAAGAAGCCGCACCGCTATTGATGAGAATCAATAGCTCTTCGTGAGTTTCTGTGGGCCATCTATGTCAAGCGCGTCATACTAAAAAGTATAAACAGAGATAACCCCGCTCAAATTCCTATTCCTACACAAAACACAAGCTCCTGCTGCAGTTAAAAAAATAAGATTTATTATACAGGGTGTTTGGTTCCGGGTTTTACATATTTTCAGGGTAGATAGGGCTTCTAAAGTTATGAAAAAATCCCCATGAAACATAGGGTCGGAAATGACTGCTAAGTGAGTTATTCAACATTTTATGTTTTTTTGTATTGCCAACTTTGGTTAGCTATATTTTTTTAATCTTAATATGGTTTTCTGATTTCAACATACCAAATGAAAGAATAAAGTCTTAGCTATCAATGTTCTTTGAAAAAGAACTCGATTAAAGTTAATTATCATACATTAAAATTGAAAAGTATGTTGAAAGTACCAAAAAAAATGGTGAAATTTCATACATTTTCTCGTACATTTTAGTGTTTTTAAGTTGAAAATTTTCATTTCTGTTTATTTAGTTGTTCTACAAAACATTTTCCATGCAGTTCCCTAGATGTGTGCCTTTGGTAGTAACCTTGTAGGCTTTATGGTTTCTTCGTAATTATTGATTTAAAATAGCCAGAAAAACTTGTGACGTTTTCATAAAATGCGCTATAGTCACCCTATTCGTTCGTACGTTCGGCTGTTGCAGTGGACTACGCACATGAAAATTTGGTAGAATGTTATTGTAAATGTTTAGCTACATTCTTAACTTTTGATTACCGCACATCTGCTGCGCCGAAAGAAAACATAACTGCGGAGATGTTTCGCGGTATCGAATATTGCTCAGTCTCAGCAGAAAACACAACGAGAGACACCGAATCGGTGAATTCTGAGAGCGGAAGGGAGAGAAGTAGGTAGCGGTAATAAGTCGATGTCCCTTTTATTTCATAGCACTCGCAGCTTAGCTGCGGTGCTATTTCGATGGAGGAGTGTGAAGCTCCGCTGCTTCTGTATACACACTTAATTTTTTTTTTGCAGGAGTCAGTATTTTTTACTGGATTTTTGGATTACTGAAAAACTTGGTTAAAATTCAAATGACTGTTATTCGTAAAGATTGGATAAAATCGATTTTTTTTATTTTTCATCATTACACTGGGTTAACAATAGTTAGTCTGTAAATGTTCGTAACACAATTTCTCAACTTTGAATTTTTCACAGATTTTTTAAATTTTAACGAAGAGTTCCGCAATTCAAAAACTTGGTAAAAATTACTGACTCGATAAGTGTGTACTGATGTATGGTTGGTGAAGAGGCTAACATGTGCAGGGTGTTCTCGGGCTAGTGAATGCCACCCATCCCCACTTTTAATTTAGTAATACACTATTTATTCATTTCTGTTTGATATGTTTACAAAATTTGCAAACAGGAATGAGCATTGCAGTGTAGTTACCAATTTTCCAAGTCATAGACTTCAGATAACTATTCAAAGCCCCAGATTTTTTATAACGAAATCATGAACAAAAAAGAAAGCAAAGACCACTATGACAAACGTGATCGGTCTGAAGGGATCTTTACATAGAAATTGTTTTAAGGTGATACGATCCAGAAACTCGGGCTCTGGTTCCACTTCGCTTTTTCCAGGCGTCCATTATCTGCTACCGGAAAACATACAATTACAAAACTGTGATGATAATTTAGTGCCTCAAATCACAATAGTGCCCGAGATTAACTCCCAAGAAAACTCGAAGTGGCAGTGAAAGTGCCTATGATTTGTGGACGCTGAACCATACCACCTTAAAAACTCAGTTGAATCTAAGAGGAAGAGGAGACAACTGGCTTCTTACTCTTTTATCTCTATATCTCTATCTATATCTATCTCTATCTCTATCTCTATCTTACGCACTTCAAATCGGCCAATCACGAGCTGGTTTGCGTTCGACATAAAAGCGAAGGGGACAACTC